AAAGCTGCAGAATGGGTGTCGTAGGACAGGCCACCCGAAGGCCCCATAATTTGTCAGACGTCCCTTCATTCTTGTCATCCCTGGCCAAGAAGCCATGACGACTGTAGCCGGCATTGGCGCCGCCTACGACAACATCATGAATCTCTTCATCGTCGGTCTGCCTTTTGTGACTGGGTTCACACTGTTGGGCTTACTGTAAATCCAATGGGATAAGGTTTAGGGTTTAGGATGTAGGGTTTAGGGGTTCGGTTTAGGCCTTGCTGTGATCTGGCATTGAAGCAGGGATGGTCAGATCACAGAGTCGCTTCGAGTGCATCCTCGTACAACAGTCTGCTGTGGCCCCATTGTGGCTGGCCATTCCACAATGCACCCAGCCCCTGCCAAACCTGCCCCAGGGTTTGAGACCTAGCTTAAGTCCATCTTGGTCAACAACATTACATCTTTGCCCAATGCATGGACATGTGAGACTGGGGCGGGGTCTTTGTAACGGAGCGTCTGGGGTTCACGCTGGAGTTTCAAAGTTTTTCGTAGATTAGGGTCTGCCACAAGCGATACTACTTACAACACCACCTATAGCCTATAAGTATCCATGCAGAGTTTACTTCAGTCAGGACACTGCTCTCAATTTTTCTTAATTTTTTTGTGGATTCTATCTTCAAGTGGGTAGTTGCCAGGCGGGTACTCCCAGCAATTCTGCTTTAAAAACTCCATCCATCAGATCTGGTACGCGATAAAAGTGGTATAGAAGAACTATACGAGACTACCTGCATGTATTTCTTCACTTGTAGATGGTTGCATCATAGGGTTCTAGTCCCCGATATCCGAAGAATCAAATCTTGAACCTTAAACCTTACCGGTAAACTACCCGTTGGTACAAGGCTTCTGGTATGCGAAGACGACTTCACCCGCCAATCTACTTGGAGGGACGGGTTCGCATGACCTACCTAGGCTTCATAGTTTAAGGGTTTAGGGTTGTGGCATTTAGGGGGGCGAGTTTTTTTTTCATAGGTGTGGCTCATTCTAGTCTGGCTTGCTTAGGTGTGGCTCTGGTCCCCTGGTCCCCTGGTCCTCTGGTCCCCTGGTCCTCTGGTCCGCTGGTCCTCCGGTCCGCTGGTCCTCTGGTCCTCTGGTCCCCTGGTCTCTTGGTGCGCTGGTCTTTGGTTTCGGC